CTGCCTCAGGACCTAGGGATTGCACCACACCTGGCTTGGAATCCTTTTAAGTTGGTGAAATGGTGCTGTATTTTTTCCTAGTGCTTTTAACAAATGACCTCAAATTTATTAGCTTAAAAAAGACAAAATGCCTCTTAGTGCTCTGGAGGTCAGTTGTCCAGACTGGGCAGGATCGCCTAACATCTGCCCTCAGGAGTGTCCCTGTCTGTCTTTTCTGGCTCCCAGGGGCCACCTGCACTGCTTGGCTCATCACCTCGTAAAACATCAGCCCCCTTGCCTGTCCTTCTCCATATGTGGCTCTGTGATTGCGCGGGGCCACCTGAGTACTCAGGATAATCTCCTCCTCAGGATCCTGGGCTAATTACGACAGCCATGTCCCTCCAGGTGTAAAGTAGCATCTTCTCAGTCTCCAGGCTTTATTCTGCCCATCACAAGTTCAAGGCTAGGAATGAGACTTTCCAGTGTCGGAACTTAGGTGTGTTAACCTGGAGTCGAAGACCAGCAGTTAGAGCCAGCTCCCTACCTCCTCCCTTGCTGGGCAGGTGAGGGGTGGCCATGAGTGACGTTTCAGAATCTTGTTTTCCTCATCTGTAAAATGTGCACAGTGAGAATTTTAGTTAAAAGGGAAGAAGGATTACTTGGTGYTTGATTTTCTGGGAAATCTAGGGATCAGCTGCCCCTGGCAGGCATCCCAGTTGGTTCAAGACTGGGGGGGCTGGAGGTGGGGGGGTGCCCGCCAGGATGTAGGATGGAAACTGCTCACAGCTTCGTGCACGCCCAGCCTGTGCCCGTGCTCCTGGGAGAAGGGGTAGTGCTTATCTTTTGGGAGGCTGTGCTGGTTTCTGGTGAGTCCAGAACCACTGTCTGTGCCAGGGGGTTAGCAGGAACGCACAGGCCCCGGGCAGGGACAGGGAGACCCCAGCGTCTCTCCACACTCACTGCCACCATTGCTTAGGTTTCTTAGAAGTTGCGAAGGCAGCTGTCTTCACAGTGTCCTGTCTGCCATACTGGCCCCTGGGGAGGGGTGGCACCCCTCCTTACTATCCCAGAACGAAGTAACAGTCACCAAGAGCTCTTTGGCACACAGGTTACTAAGAGCTCACCACTCCTGCCTTGCAGGACGCTATGCCCCTGGCCTCCCACCCAGCCACCTTTGTTCAGGCTTTTTCCCCCGACCTTCATAGCGCAGCCCTTAGTCCCTTTGCTTCTGCCATCCGCCTCTGCCGCCTCCTCCCGCTGACCGCCTCCTCCCGGTGTCCGCCACCCTGAACTCTGACTCCACGTTCCACTGCCTGGGTGCTGCACTTGGGTGCCCTTTGGCACCTCACATTTAGCACATTCAAGTCTGAACTTCCCATTTTCCCTCCCAGGCTCGCTGTTCCTCCGGTGGTTCCACCGGAATCGTTGGAAGTCCTGCCTTTCCTGCTCCCACAGCCCACGCACCGAGCTGTCGGAAGGCCTGTTGGCTCCTTCAGCAGAACGTCTGGCATCCAGCCCTCGGTGGCTTCCCTGCCGYGCCCCAACCAGCGCAGCTTCTGGGTGGCTGTCACCTCGCCACTGCTCCATCTGCTCCTTTCTGGCTCCCCACCTCCCCACACAGCACCAGAGACGCTCTGCTGAATTCTAAGTCAGGTGACTTTATTCCTCTGATCAGAAGGCAAAGGCCTCCCACTTGCTGACCCCAGCCCCGGCCTCCCCTGGCCTCCCTCCCTCCCTTCCTCCCTCCCTCCCCTGATCCTCTCCTTCCCCCTCTCTCTGTGTGTCTTTGTCTCTTTCTCTCTCCCTTCCTCCCTCTCCCTCTCCCCTCACTTCCCTCTTCCTCACCTCCCCCCAAGATAAGCCTTCTTGCTATTCTTTAAAAACACTGGACATGTGCCTGCCTCAGGGCCTTTGCAAGGTCCATTCTCTCTTCCTGGATGCTCTTCCCCCAGATGCCCACAGGATTCAGTTCCTCCCAGCCCTCTCTCTCGCTCCAGTGCTGTTTCCCAGCCAGCCCTGCTCTGGCTGCCCTGCTGAACATGCGGCCTACCGTCCTGAGATCCTTCATGTCCACTCTGGTTTTTCCCAAACCGCAGGCACCTTCCACTGTGAGGAGTAACCTGCTTCTCTCTGCCTCTCATTCCCCCTTCCCTCAGGGGGAGCCCAGTGGCCCCGTCTGCTGGGGCAGGAAGTGTCTTCCTTGTTCTCTGAGGTAGCTGAAGAGCCTGTCACAGAGTCGGAGCGCAGCCYGGGGACACAAAGATGGCTGATCTTTGTACCTTACAGAAAACCAAGGCCAACAGACTTTTCCTGCAAAGAATTTCTTCTGTCCTTTATTTAAATTGTGATCTACTAAAGGGAGGGAACGAAACCTTTTGTGGGCTCATTAAAAAATGGGAGGAAGTTGTGCCAGGTTTTTCATTCTATTCAGCCCTGTGATGATGTTTGACATTTTTCGATGACACATCAGGACGAAACAGATTTCGCACCATACACGTCATTATAAGTTCAAAGTGTGGCCTGCGGGAGCCAGAGAGTGAGTTGTCACAGGTCGATCACGAGGTCCAACTGCTGGAAATTAGCCTCGAGCACTTTAAACAACAGTTTGACAGAGCCATTTGATGTCTACTGACTCTAATAATAAAACTTGGGGCTCTAATTTTTTACCTAATTGTCTTCATTTCTCTCAAAATTCCTTTTCCTTTTTTTTTTTTTTTACCAAAAATATTGTCCCTGATGGGATTTGGGAATTAGAAAAACAAAGCCGCCCTCCCCGCCCTAATCGCCCTAATCGAGCCCTAGATAAATGGATGTTGAGGTTGACTGATGAAGCTGAGGAGGGATAACAACCCAGGGTATCCTGAGAGCTTTGACTTTCCTGCATCATCTCCTAGCTCTCAGGGTCATCTGCTCCTAAGACACTTTTTTCTTGTTTTTCCAAGCAGTAGAAACCTCTTTCCAAATAACCCTTGTGAGAAGACACSGGGGTGGAAGGCAGGAGGAGGGACCTGCTCCCACTGAGCCCGTGTGTCCCTGTGTTTCTGCTCATCACCTGGTCAGCCCAGACCAGCAGGAGTAAGCTGTGGGCCTCGAGGTCCTCCTGACTGGCTGGCTGCACTGTGACTGCAGCGTGGATCTGCATCCCTGTGTCCTTGGAAACTGCTGAGTTAAGGTAGACTGGGAATGCTGGGTCCACAAGTCCCCTGACCTGAGTTGCCCAGGGCTGGAGAGCCACTCCCCACTCTGTGCCAGGGTGGAGACTTTCACTCCTCCTGTTGAGATTCCAAGGAGCAAAGTTTCTGATCCTGTGGAGACAAAGAACCAGGTTTCTCCATGAGATAAGAAAGCAGTGGTTACTCTGCAGAGGGAGCCATGTGGCACGCCTTAGCTACCTTGCAGCCTCGGAGGAAGGTAATCCCAGCAGCCTCACAGCTGGCTTTCTCTGGGACCCAGCGGCCTGGACAGGGGCAGGCCTGACTTCTGCTTTGTCACTGTCCCTGCTGCTACTGTAATGCCAAGGCGGCTTCACATTCTCTAGGTTCCTCCTCGCTGTGGCCCTAACTAGCCTTCTCAGTCTTGATCCAGTGGGCCACAGAACGTGTTGGAGATTTTATCAAATCCTAAGAGTGCCTAGCATTTGCATCTGCCTTTTTTTTTTTTTTTCCCTGAGATGATGGGGATTGAACCCAGAGGCACTTCGCCACTCAGCCATATCCCCAGCCTTTTTCTTTTCAAGACAGTATTTCCCTAAATTGCCCAGGCTGGCTTCACACTGTGGTCTTCCTCCCTCAGCCTCCTAAGTCACTGGGATTGCAGACATGCCACCATGGCTGGCATGCAGATGACATCTTAACATACTTAGGAGCTTATAAAGCTCTGAAGAAGTAACTTAATGAACAATGACCTAAGAAAGTGAGCTCTGATCTGAACAGGTATTACACACGGAAATAGAAATGGGTACAGGAAAGCAGAGGTTTGAAGCCCTCCGAGTGGGTAGGTCCTTCTACCTGTTAACATCAGACTTCAAGGTCAAGTTTAAGATCATCAGTCAGGGGAAGAAATTCTCAGACAAGAGTGCAGCGTCACATATAATGGTGGAAAACTGAGGYAGCATCAAGATTAAAGGTGTTACTTCAAATGATTATTTAATGGCATAGAAGTTGTCATGAACTAAATGATATTAAAGTATTAAGTTATTGTGTCAATCTCTATGATAATGTGTCCAGAAGATGTCTGCAAGGAAGTGAATGGGAACATGCACGGTGCTTACTTCTGAGAAGCTCAGCTGYGGGTGATTTTGTTTCTTTATTCTTTATTTTCTATAACAAGCTTGTATTTTTCAGAATGCTACAATAAGCATGTCCTACCACACACMGTGCAGTTCTAAAATAAGCATATGTTACTCAGAGAAACAGGTTAATTACTAAGGGGAAAAAGTAACCGTTGCGAGGCTCTGTTTATCAACATCATTTTGCTGTAAATGGCAGAAATGCTGTGAGGGCATCTCAGGCTGCAGTGGGTGCCCGGTACATGGAAGAAGGTAACCTGGCACCTTTGATTCTTGTTAGTGGTTCATGTGCTGTACAGGCCAAGTGAACCCGTGTCTTGGCTGGACTCTGACATTTGGCGTCTGTGCTCTCTGCATGCATAGTCACCTCTGCCCCCGGGGGCAGAAAGCAGGCAGACCTGGGTGCCTGGCATTTCCAACTCCAGACCTTGTTACTGTGGATATTATTTTAAACCCTTTTGTATTTCTATTTTTCCCTATTTTTAGGTTTCCATCAAGTAAGGGGTGGCATAATACTGTGTACTTATAAAGAGAAGTATGTGGAAAATCAGTGACATTTGGTTAAGGTGCATTGAGACTTGGGGACAGAGTCAGCTTTGGTTGAGGTGGCCTCTCTGCCACTTATACCAAAATGACGCTTATAAACAGAAAGAGCCAATCCACCTTGAAGACCAGGTTGAAGATCAAAAGTCTGGGGTGACGGTGGATCTTCTATGATCTTCTTGCTTTGCAGGCGGGACGATGTCTGGGGAACTGCCATTGCACATCAACATCGAGGAACCTCGATGGGATCAGAGCACGTTTGTGGGGCGAGCCAGTCACTTCTTCACCGTGACGGATCCCAGGAACATCCTGTTAACGGATGAGCAACTAGAGAACGCAAAGAGAATAGTCCATGATTACAGGTGACGATAGTGACCACATTTTTGGCTTAATGTGTAAATTGATTAACATGTTGGTTGCTTTTAAACCTTCCCTTGGTGATCTTGCAGCATTTGTTTCACAATGAAATCCTTTTTACCAAAAATAATCAGGAAGTCTGTTGCACCCCCCTATTGCTGAACCTTAGCTCATAGCAGGGACTCCGGGTAGCCTAAAAATGGGGCACACGTTCCTGCTGCCCGTGGTCCCCATCTGTGAACCCCGACCCACCTCCTTTCTTTTGTGGTCACCCCTGGGGCTACAACCACCCACAGTGTCTTCCATTTCTGGACAGAAACAGCATAGTGCAGAAGATACACTGTTGTGAATCAGGGGCGGGCCCTGCTTCGGAGATACAGCGCAGCGGGTGGAAGTCTGTAGGGAGGCGTTGGAAGGGGAGCACAGAACAGGGCTCAGGGCTGTGGATCTGGGAGGCGCCCCATCAGCCAAGTGCCAGGTGTGAGGACAGAGAGTGGCACCAGCTCTGAGCCACCGATGCAACCAGCCACGGGCTGAAGATGTCAAAAATAACAAAGGCAAATCCTGCCTCTGTCGCGCGAACACGTGCAGACCTGTGTTCTCGTCCTCATCCCCTGAACACAGCAGTGTCACCACTGTTCACCTGGTGTGCATATGGAATCAGAATGGCAGGCTATTAGAGGGGACCTGAAGCAAGCACATGGGGGGTGCAGGGCCGCAGCAGACGCAGCCCCTTTATGTCAGGGGCTCGATGTCTGCAGAGTCGGGGCAGCAAGTCTCGAGCCGTCCCCGGGGTGCCCAGGAGGAGCTACTCTGAGGCAGCAGTTGGCAATTTTCCCACAAAACGAGGTGAGAAGTGCTCCTGTGGACCAAGAGGGCCCCTGCTCTAGTATGACCCTAGAAAGTCCCCACAAGCTCCTGTGTCCAAGCCTTGGTCCCCAGCCAAGTAAGGCTCTGCTCAGAAGAGGGGAACCCGTGGGAGGTACTAGGATAGGAAGCTAGTCGTGGGAGGCGTGCCCTTGAAGGGGGCTTTGGGACCCCAACCCCTTTCTCTCTGTTTCCCAGCTGCCCTGAGGTGAGCAGCCTCCTGCAATACACAGTCCTGCTGTGGTGTCCTCTGTCACCACAGGCCCARAGCAAGGGGGCCAAGTGGCCATGAACCAAGACCCCTGAAGCCATAAGCCAAAATATATCTTTCTTCTTTCTAAGTTGGTTCTGTCGTATTTTAACCCAGCAACAGAGGCTACCACACTGTTGCATAGTATTCTTAATTTTTTGATTACTTGCTTTTTTTTTTAACAATTCTTTTAAAAAATATGAAAGTCTCTCTGATCCAGCAGGCCACGTTGGCCATGGAGAGGAGTGCCAGCCCCTGCTCTAAGGAGGGGCACTAGAAGCTGGGAACAGTGCTGTCAGAAGCCCTACACCCAAGCCAAGCCACTGAGGCTGGTGGCCAGCTTCAGCCAGGGGTCAAACACGGCCACCATGGCATCAGAACAGCCAGAGCCTGTGAAAAGCTCTGAACAAGGAGGGAAGGACGACCTCACTGTCAGCACGGTTCAGAAACTTGGGGAATGTTCTCTATTCTTGGAGAATCTGGAACAGAAGCCATGAGAAAGAATCAGGGTGCCAAGACTCATGTGTGGGCTGGGGAGAGGGCGGCAGGAGGATGGCCAAGACCTGGGCACCTCAGAGGCCATTCAAAATTGTCCCTCAAGGCGGATATGAAGCTAGCCACAGAAGCGGCACCTTGGACAGGTGGAGTAGGGTCTAGAGTGACCCTGGGTGCTCCCAAGGCTGTGGTGGGATGGCCCACTCTCTGTGCAGGGCCAGGGGCAGTGGCCTCAGGCAGCAGTCCATGGCTCAGCATGCCTGGCTGTTCTCACCTCTGAAACGGAAGCCTACCCACCGCCCACAGGCATGGCTAGTAGGTAGGTGAAGGAGATCACAGAAGGGCGTGGAGGTGGGCTGTGTGATGCTCTGAAGGAGGAACCCCGGGCCTCAGCAAGGAAACATCTGCAGATTCCATAGACCTGCCCCATCTCAAGCAAGGTCAGCTGACAATCTCTTTTACTTCATCTKTAACAAACTTGAAATTTCTACAAGCATCCATGAAGTGGGTAAAGACAATCCTTAAAATAGCAGGCGAGCCTGCGGCCCTCGGTCARCCCCTCCCTCTGTGCAGAGTGCCCGTGGGCAGGAGTCTGGAGGGGTGCTGCACCTACTGTCTTCATCCCAGAGGACAAAAGTGCAGGAGCAGCAAAGGCAGACTCCTCCCTGCTTCTCGAGGGCAGGAAGGGCACGTGGAATAGAAAGGGARAGGATTCCTGTAGGAAATCAGATGCAGTATGATTCAGGGCCAATAGATCAGGAAAAAATGGTTTTGATAAAGTATATAAAAATAGAACTTGATTAAAACACAGTAGTCGTAGGAAATCCTTACACAGCTTTCCTTTACACAGTCTTTGACAGATCCTCAGGGCACATAGCACATAGCATTTCCTAAACACTTCCTATAGCCAAAAGTAGAATAGCAAACACAATGAGAAACTGCCTGGGAAACCTGGAGAAGTCGAGTCAGAGTGTGCTCTGCTGCTCATTTCCGTCTCCACATCTCTGTGACTTACCAGCGAAGCCTGGCACTGATGGGCCCACCTGCAGCCCGAGAAATCGGAACCGCAGCAGAGCAGTGCAGGGAGCAAGTCCATCCGAGCCCTGCACCAGGCCCGCCTGCGCCCTTCCTGCTGCCCACCCGCACCTCAGCAGCAGGAGAGGCCAATGCGATGTTGCCCACATTCCAGGTGGGGGAACTGAGGCACAGACTGTAGCTCCTGCTAGAGCCAGACCTAGAACACCACAGAGTCCCTGCTGCTCAAGGCCACACAAKCTGGCTTGCAAGGACAGTGGAAGGGACGTCGTTGCTATGAGTCAGAAATTAATAATTTCCAAAAAGCATGTGAGAGAATTGATTCCTTGATGAATAAGGGAAGGCCAAGCCTCTGGCAAGTCTAACCAATATAAAATAAATACATAGAAGTTGATGAGAGGAACAAGAAAGTTCCCTCAGGAAGAAATAGATATTAAAATACAGCCTACCACAGGGTGCAGAGGAACACACCTGCATGCAATCCTAGCAACTTGGGAGGCTGAGAAGGAAGATCACAAGTTCATCGCCAGCCTCAGCAATTTATCGAGGSCCTAAGCAACTTACAAGACTTCGTCTCAAAACATAAAGGGGCTGAGGATGTGGCCCAGTTGTTGAGCACCCTGGGTTCAGTCCCTGGGATCAAAATAAATAAATAAAACCTACTATGGATCTTTTTTGCTAAAAAGTTTGAAAATCTTAGTGAAATATTTAACTTTTTAAGTATAAACAACCAAAATTTGTTCAAAAGAAGGGAGGGAAAGGGTGAGGAAGAGATGAGACAGAACAAATAGAAAAATAAAAAGCAAAACCATCCAAAATCTTTCCCAGGCAACCTGGCTTTGCGAGTGGAAAACGTTTTTTTCCCCGAGAAGAGCCGCTCACCCACAGATCACCCAGAAAGTAGGAGGCAAACTTTTCCTCTTCCATCAATGGGGCCCTAATCCCTGACACATGGGGTTCAAGCAGCAGCTCTGTAATGGCGTCCCTCACAGACAGCCCAGGTGTCAGCTGGCCAGGTGGAGGGCAGCTCCTGGAGCAGTGCCCCCGCTGCCTCTGACAAGGCTGGCCCCACGTCCACAGAGCTCCATCGGTGGACCACAGAGCCCAAACCAGGTGCTCATCGCCGCAGGGGCAGCGAAGCTGACAGAACCCAGCCGGCCTCTGTGGTGAGACTCTCAGCAGACCAGGAAGAGAAGTGGGGGCCAGGGCCATCTGAACGAGGAGCTTGCTCCCCTAAGGCTGGGAGCTGGCGGGGCGTCCGTCTCCAGGGCTCTTCCTCAGCTCTGTGCTGGGGCTGCTAGAAGATCAACAGCAAAATTAAAGACAGCAGTGAATGTGACCATCCGTGTAGAAAGAATCCACAAAAAATACAAATACATAAAAACCAGAAGAAGTGAGTTTGTCAAGGTCACAAGACACAAGATCAGTATTTAGAATCAATTTGATTTTCATCTAGTAGCATTTAACAGCTCTAAACTGGAAATAATCTAAATTATGCTATTTCAAAAACAACAAAAATTGTAAATACTTGGAGATTGCGTTAACAAAATGTGTAAAATGCCTGTAAAGCCAAAGCACACAAAACAGAGATTACGAAAAGGAATCCCTTGGTTGGTTTGTTGTTTACATGAAAAGAGAATACCGTGTTCATAGTTTGGAAAACCCCTAATCATTAAAATGTCATTTGTTCCCAAATTGATGTAGATTAAATGTGGCATCAGAATCCCAGCAGGATTTTTATAGAAATTGCAAGCTGATTTTAAAAGTTTTACATGGAAATACAGGGGACCTAGGTGATTGAATGCAATTTTGAGAAAGAGCAAAGTTGAGGAACTACCCTACCTCATCTCAAGACCTGATGCACTAACAGTAAAAATGCCTAGCACTGGTGCAAAGGTAGACACATAGACTGTCATTCAGCTTTGTGTTTCTATAACAAAATACCTGAGATGATCAACTTAGAAGGAGAAAAGGTTTATTTTGGCTCATAGTTCTGGAGGTTCCAATCCTTAACCAGTTGCCCCATTTCTTTGGTTCGATTGGGGGGGCACACATCATGGCAGAAGCATGTGGTAGAGTGAAAAATCCCTTGCCACATGGCCAGGGTGCAAGAAAAAAAGAAAAGGATGAGAAGGACCCACAGCCCCTTCCAGGGCACGCTCCCAATGCCCTAAAGACCTCCTACCAGGCCTCTCATAGAGAGCCCTCTCCTCCCGATAACACCACCCTGGTGACTGAGCCTTCCACATACAGGCCTTTTGGGGAGGACATTCAGCATCCAAACTGTAGCACAGACCRTGAAACAAAATGCCGATTCCTAAAATAGGTCCACGCTCCTACACTGAGTTGCTTTTACACCAAGATAATCCACTAGGAAATGTGGCTGCGATCAGTGAAAAATTGGGCAGTCCTACAAAGTGAGCGTCCATCCTTCTGTAAACCAAAGGCAGCTCATGGTGACAATGACCTGAACAAACATCCAAGCTGACGTTGTAAGATCCCTAGAAGAAAACAGAGCTCCTCTGTGGCTTTGGGAAATGCGAAGATTCTCTGGGGCTTGAGCACAGGGGGAGGGAAAAATGGAACGAAACCATCGAAAAATTGAACTTCCTCACCGTAAAAGATTTTGTATGCAGATGACTCCATTTAGAGAGCAAAAGTGCACCTCACAGACTGCACGGAAGTGTTCACAAAACTTATCTCACAAAGGGTTTATACCCAGAAGATGAAAAAAAAAAAACTCTTTTTGAATATAAGGATAAGACAACACAGTTTGTAAGGTGGGCGATAGATCGCAGCAGACAGACAACACTTCCCCAAAGGAATGCTGGGAATAGCATGCCAGCATCTGGGAAGACCTGGAGTGTTACTAGCTGCAGAAAAATGCAGACAAAAGCCAGGAGTGGTCCATCAGCCCGGGGTGAGGCGCTGCYCAACATGCACCAGAAGGAAGAGAAGAGATGACAGGCACAGCTCACAGGCCAGCAGCCCGCCCCACCACAGGGGATGAGCCACCCGAGCAGAACTTCCTGAATGGCTTTGCAGAGGTGTAGCACAGGAGGAGGGGAGGAGAGGAAGGTGGTTTCTATAGTTGGATTTGGAAAAGTTCACATTCCGTTCCTGAGGGTGCCACATCCCATAAGTGTATRTCACTTCCATAACTCCCAAGAAGTCAGAGGAGTAGAGAAGCCGTTTAACTTATTTCCCTAAACCTGACCACAGGCCCCTCCTGTTTTCCCCATAACATCTCTCCGTGTCCCAGGGCATGTCCCTGGGATACCGCACTGCGGTGTGCTCCATGAAGCTGGGGAGCRGCCTTGCGCCCTCCTCTCCATTAGTTTAGAAGCACTGTTGGCAGTATCCGCTCTCTAGTTAACAGGGTGTCGGTCAAAGCACACTGTAATCACCTATGAAGTTTACAAGATAATTGTAAGGTTTTTCTGGAAGAATAAATAATGAGTGTGATTAAGGCATTTAAAAAAAAGGAAGAACAGGTGAGTTGTCACAGAGCTGGGGCCCTCCGGGAAACTGAGGCAACACAACCATCCCCTTCGAGCCCCAATCCTTGTGATCCAGTCAGAAAGGTTCCAGGCATGTCGCTCAGAAGAACAGGCAATAAAACTTATTGAAAGGATGGAAAAGGCAAAAGGGGACAGTCTCAGGGAGGGAGTGGGTTTTCTCAGAGACAAGAGGGACAGTGTTTCTCCTGCACTCCTGTTTTATTGGGGATCCCAGAGAAGCTTCCAGAGTCCTGCCCAGGCCCACCCCTTGACTTGACTGACAGCAGCATGACATCATATTTTAAGTCCCCACTGCCATGGACAACTCTAGGTCACTTTGGCCCATGGTGACCTGTTCTAATGGGATTCTTAACCATAAATTAAACTTTATGAACCATAAATCATACAGACTTTATGGTTAAGAGCAATTATCCTCATCTCCCTGGGTTCTTTGTAATCAGTCTGTAAAGTGATTACAAAGATCTGCCCATTCAGGATAACTTGGGTTCCTCCTTCCAATRTTATTTCGGGCCTGCATTTCTCCTGCAGATAACAGGTAGTTTGTTGAGAAATGTTGATGAATCCTGTCCACTTAGGCCAGGCAGGGCTGCAAGTAAATTGCTTCTTGGAATAGAAAGCATGTGGGGGTCAGCCCAGTGGGCCCATTTGATAGAATTATTCCCTTAACCTCGTGTTCCCGCCACTGACATCTTTTTTCCCCTGTCAGAGTTGCAGTTGCTTCAGCAACAATCACAATGGACTGATAAGTCAAGATCATGGGCATTGGTGTCAGAATATGCAGATAAATGGGAACACAGGAGAAGGTCTAGGTCACGAAATCTCAACCSAGAGTAGGCAGCCACCTGGCAGATGAGGTGAAGCAAGGTTCAATGTTCCCATGTTAAGATACATTTCAAGCAAACAAGAAACTAGTGACAAAAGGGAAATCACTGTTCTGAACTGTGGGAAGCACAGGTGGACATTTGCAAACCTGCACCACTGTCAGTCAGACCTTCTAGGCAGAGCCTCACCTACCCCTCCCCGACTACATAGGAAAGAATCATCCAGGATGGCAGAAATATACTAGCAGTGAAAACTTGGGTTAGTAATCCCTTGCATATAAAATACACTTACAAGTTACTTAAAYATCAGCACTGCCGCTGTTGCTGTTGATGATGATCAAGACAGAGACGTAGCTGAAGCTTTAACATGGTGCACAGCCTTGGTGTCGGCAACCTTGCACATTCCTCTCTGGGCAGTCTCACGTGTGGGGTGACTCACTTGCCAGGGAACTGTATGTGCTTCCTCATCCTTCACAGAGGAAGAAAGTTCAGCAGTTCAGATGCTCACACCAGGGCAGTGGAATCCTACTTTGTTTTAAAATCAGACAGCAGATGCTGTGCACATTTAAAAGGTGTCATGTTTGTTTCCTGAGATTGCTACAATTTACCACCAGCTAAGTGGCTTAAAACTTCAGAAATTCAGCCTCTGGGTTCGGGTGCTCCCTCTGAAGCCTGGAGAGGAGACGGTGTCCTTGCATCTCCCTAAGTCCTGCTGGCTTCGGGCATGCTTTGCTGGCCTTGAGCTGTGGGTACGGGGGCTCCACCTCCTAAAGCACGTGGCTTCCTGGTATGTTGGCACATGGCCATTCCCTAAGGACCCCATTCATTGCTTAACAACCACTGTGATCTAGTAGCATTCATCTTAACTAATTGCATCTACAAAGACCCCATTTCCAAATCAGGTCACATTCTATTTTTCCAGGTGAACATGAAATTTGGGRAAAACACTGTTCAACCCAGTAGAGATGATTATTATCTGTAGGCACAGAAACATTCACAAAATGTTGTTGAATTTAAAAGTTGGTGTTGAAGCAGCAGTTCTGGTGCCCCACCTTTACATAAACAATCGACATATGGACACTGGGAGGGAGACTGAAGCTGCTCACCAGGTTGCATTAAGGCTGCAGTGGTTTAATCACTCTGATGAATTTGTACATTTTCTGAATTTCTGGCAATGGACAGGTATTCCTTTGACAGAGAGAAGAAATAACAAATGATGTGCCTGACATTTCTTTTACACTAAAGAGTCTTCCTAAGCTAGGTTTCCAAATTACAGGTTTAAAATGAATTCGTGTTCTTGATTGCCATAGCTTTTGTATAATTGGTTAAAATATTTTAGAGTTTGCAAAGTTCAAACTACATTTTTTAATGTCATTTAAAACAAAGAATATTTCAAAGTTGAATACTTCTCTGGTATACAGTTTTTCAAAGAAAAAAATTCAAATTACAGATAATTTCAGATGAATATGTTTGAAGTGTTCATTTTAAGCACTTGTTATCCTTTGTGTTTTTAACGTTTTTACCGACAGGGACTGGGGCGTAGCTCAGTGGTGGAGTGTGCCTGGGTTTAGTCCCCGGCGTCAAAAAGGCATAAATATACAAATAAGTCAGTGCCAGCTGAGAACTAAGCTAGCACCTCGTGGCAGGCAGGTGTGAGCCTGCCGAGGCCTGTGCGGGCRCCGTGAGGACTTGAAGTGAGCCGCCCCGTGTTATTTGTGGTCCTGTCCCTAGACAAGGAGTTGTCCCTCCGGGTCTTACAGAGAACGAGCTGTGGAGAGCCAAGTACGTGTACGAGTCGGCCTTCCACCCTGATACCGGRGAGAAGATGATCCTGATCGGGCGGATGTCAGCCCAGGTGCCCATGAACATGACCATCACCGGGTGCATGATGACCTTCTACAGGTGAGCCGTACCCTGCGGCCAGCTGGTTGCCCCTTGTCCAGAGACCCACGGCACCTGTGTTGATCAGTGCATTTTAATTCACATAAGAATGGTTTCACTGTGGCACAAGCATTCTGCACCCCTCATGTCTTTTTTTTCAAAGTGTATATTTATATGTGTCTAAAAACTAAATGCTGTTTCCTAAGTATATAGGTGATGAGTGTGTCAATGAATTTGGTTTAGTTATTCAGAAGGATATCAAACAGCATGTTATACTCTACAAATAAATTCAACAAAAATAAAATTTAAAATGATTAAAAATGAAATAGGGGAGCTAGGCACAGTGATGCAGGCTTGTAATCCTAGCAGCTCAGGAGGCTGAGGCAGGAGGATGGCAAGTTCAAAGCCAGCCTCAGCAACTTAACGAGSCCCTAAGCAACTTCTCAAGACCCTGTCTCAAAAAAAKAAAAAAAAAAGGGCTAAAGATGTGGCTCAGTGGTTAAATAACCCCTGGATTCAATCCGTGGTACCAACTAAAGTAAATAAATAAAATAAAATAGGGGTATTGTTGCACTGGGGAGAAAAATGTGTCATTTCACTTTTAGTTCTATTTGGTGTAAACATTTGACCTCTGCTCAGCAGCAGATCTATCTTTAATAAACACTTTAAAGATCCATTTTACTTTCTCCCTTGCTAAGTAGCATCTTCTTTGTTGTTCAAAGGGAAATTGAAGTTTTTCCTAAATCTTAGACCCAAAAGAAAATAGAGTCTAAAAGCAAATTCTCCTTTTAGCCTATTTATATAAATATGGATATAAAATACCTTATGTAGGTGTAAGCACAGGTGCAGGTCGACCTGGACATACATGGACACACAGTAGTACATAGAACTGCAGCTAGGAGGTGCCAGGACTGCCCAGCCCAAGAGGAGGAACCTGCCGTTCATGGTCCCTCTGTGCCAGGCTCTCTACAGTTTACCTTCATCGCCACAGTAACCCTCTGAGCTTGGCAATGAGAAAACTGATCAGAGGACCAAAGCCACCAAACAGGTCCTGAGCCTGTGGCCTGTGCCTCTGCCCCAGCCTTCCCCTCTGGCCCCTCCTCTTGGCGGTCGCTATGCACATGCTGACTCCGACCGTAGCTGGTCCCAGGTGGAGGTGGTGAGGGGTGGTTTGCTCTGTTACAGGACCACACCAGCTGTCCTGTTCTGGCAGTGGATCAACCAGTCCTTCAACGCCATTGTCAACTACACCAACAGAAGCGGAGATGCCCCTCTCACTGTGAGGTAAGCTCTCAGGTTCTGCCTTTTCAAAAGATGCATTTGTTGGGGTTGGAGTTGTGGCTCAGTTGTAGAGCGCTGGCCTAGCATGTGGGAGGTTCTGGGTTCAATCCTCAGTACCACATAAAAATAAATAAAATGAAGATACATTTTTAAAAAGATACATTTGTTCACATTGTTTATGCTGTGCAGAAATCTGCATAACATCTTTTAAAGTAGAGTTTCTCCTCCCTCTGGGTCAAAACAGAGGCCTCCTTCCACCTGCCCTCTCTGTCAGTATTCCTGCTGCTAGTAGCACTGGTAGGATGGCATCTCTCATGCACCCTGGAGCTTGGTGCCCCTGTAGAGCACAGGCTGGGGAGCCCTCAGGTCTGACCATTGATAAACGACACGCTCTACTCTCCTAAGTGTGCATGCATCAAAGCCCCCAGCATCAAAGTAGGGAAGTCAACAGTGTGGCCTCTGCAGAAATCAAGGTGGGTCATGGTGGTGTGACCCTGTGCCTGCTTTGTCTCTGGAGCCCAACAGAAAGCAGAAATCACAAGTTTGCCTCCTGTTAGAAAAAAGAGAGAAAAACGAGCTAAAGATGGAGGTTAAACAAAAATGTTAGTGTAGCTTGTGTAACACTTGAAAGAAAATATTTTCCTTTTGGTGGTTCAAAATTACCTTTGAAAGGCCACAGTTACATTCTGCTCTCATCCAGTGGATACTGAAATCTACAACCCAGCAGTGTCCATCCCCACTAAGAGCCAGCTGCTTGCCCTCTGTCTGGGGTGAGCCCTGCGTTGTGGTATTTTGTCCACCAAGGCGGTGTTGGAAGAATGGCAGCGCTGCGTCCTGCTTTCTGTGTGGGTATGAACATGAGGGAAGTGTCTGCGGTTAGCGCCTGGTCGCAGCGTTTGCCCACCCTGGCCGCTGGGCTGGCCCACCCCAGCGTGCCCTGCTCTCAGCATCAGGAGGCTTATGTGCTGTCTGCCATCTGGGATTGTCTCTGTGAAGAAGCCCCTTCTTGGGGCCCACTTCTCTTGGCTTCCTCCTCTTGTATAGTGATGAAGAGCATCATCTTGTGGACTCCCGGTTTTTTATCATGCTCTTCTCTCCCCTTGTTTCTTCAAATCAAGTGCCAGTTTCTCTTTTTAAAAAATATATATAAATTATATATATATATTTTAGTTGGACACAATACCTTTATTTTATTTATTTATTTTTATGTGGTGCTGGGGATCAAACCCAGGACCTCACACGTCCTAGGCAAGTGCTCTACCAATGAGCCCCAGGCCCAAGTGCCAGTTTCTTGACAGCACTTGTCATTTATGTGATCTCCTTTTTCCTTTTCAGTGAGTTGGGAACAGCTTACGTTTCTGCAACCACGGGAGCTGTGGCCACAGCGCTGGGGCTGAACGCGCTGACCAAGGTACTCGGGCTGCCATCTGGTGGCAGAGCAGGGCGGTGCAGTCTCACCTCTCTGGCCCAGTCTCCTGGTGTTTCTCAGGAGTGTCCTGGTCCTGGCTTTGCTTTTCCACCCTTATCTGCAGCTGCATGCTTTATTATATCCCCTGTGAGTGTGGAAGGGCCATCACCAATGGCACCAGTCAGGACAGTTACCTGTGCCTGGCCCTGTGCACTAACCTCTGAGTGCCCCATCCTGGCGGTCCCTGAGGCTGTGTGGTGGCCGCAGGCCTCTGAAGAGCTGAAGGAGGCAGTATCTGAACTCAAATATTGGGACTTTGGGACTCCAGAGCCCACGTGCCTTTAGCTACACCAAGCTGCTGATGTGCCCCAGGGGTGTGCATTGTCCCAGTGTGCCCATGCCAGGAAAGCAAAAACTCCCCAAGGAAACCACTTTAAGGTGCTGGTGGCTGTGTGTCTGCATGCCCGGGTCTCACAGCATGTCTGGGAGGGTCTGGGAGCCCACCTGGCCACAGGAGGGGAACTGACGCTGCCGGTCACCTTCCTGCAGCACGTGTCGCCACTCATAGGACGCTTCGTGCCCTTTGCTGCTGTGGCTGCTGCCAATTGTATTAACATCCCACTGATGCGTCAAAGGTAAGGCCAGCCTTCACTCCCAAAGGACTGCACTGGCAGGACATCTCTTGTAATAATGGGCTTCACTGAAATTTCCCAAAATATGTTTTTACTGTACAGATAAAATTAAGTGTGATCTGGAATGTGCCTCAAAGTATTCCAGGCTTGGGGTGAGGGTAGGTGCATGGGGCAGTACATCTGGCCATGGGCTGCCAGTTGCCAGAGCAGGCTGGTGAGAGCTTGGGCTGAGGCTAGCTCAGCCGCTTTCTGTAACCAAGGTCTTAGGACATGGCCCGAGATGTCACTGAGCTGAGGTTGGGTTAGACGACGAAGGTCTATGCAGGAGAAGCTGACTCTCCAAATAGGTTCCCTTTTTTCCCTTGGGACTTTCTTTTGGAGCTTAAAGTAATATTAATCTGTATTTTGAAAGTATTTTTTTAGAATTGGCAAAAATTAAAGGAGAAGAAAGAGCGAGAAAAAGCATTTTGGAATGGAAAACGAAAAACAGGGTAACAGTTGGAGTTTTAGTGTTAGTGCCTCTTCTTGCCTCTCCAGTAGAGCTGTGGTCTAGACTGTGTCCGTGCAGCTAGTCGACTCCATGCCTTGCCTTATATCTGCCCCTGGTTTGGAAAGTTGCTCAGGTCTGTACGTGAGCATGGAAATCAGCCTTATCCTCAAGTTAGCACATCTAGTCTTCAGAGCATATTGTTATTGGAAAGGGTACACCTTTTTAAAGTGTGGTRGTGTTATTTTCCCTTTGTCTGTCAGAGGGGACTGAACCTGTTCATGGCATTTAAAAATACATTTGTCAGTGCCAAAAGTGACGCCTGAGTGGGCTCYGGATGCAGCAGGGTTGATCTTGCCAGCGAATGCTGTCCCATGTGCTGCAGGAGGGCACGAGTGGGCACCTTTGCTTGTGTTTGGTTCTGCAGGGAGCTCAAAGCTGGCATTCCAGTCACCGACAACAACGGGAACCGCTTGGGCGAGTCAGCGAACGCAGCACAGCAGGCCATCTCCCAGGTGGTCGTCTCCAGGATTCTCATGGCGGCCCCCGGCATGGGTTAGTGGAACTGCGTCTCCGTYGTCCCTTCATTCACCCCAAACATGGAGGCTCGGGGAGCCTTCTCATGTCCCAGCTACAGCAAGGCAGTGCAAAGTCCCTCTCCTGTGGGAAAGTTGCCTCTGGTGGCGACTGCAGAAAATAACAACTAAATAAACACCTAGTGCAAGGGTATTCCTTATCCCAAAGGCTGGGGAACAAATGTGTTCCAGATTTAGGATTTCTTTGAATTTGGCAAATATTTGCCTACATAAAATGAGTATATAACGAGCTGTCTTGGGGATAAGATGTTTACCTGTCTAAACATGGAATTTACTCATATGCACATGCTCTAAAGATTTTGTGCAATATTTTTACTAATTTTGTGCATCAAAGTTTGTATAGCACTTGGGTGTTTGGACCATGTGACACAGTGCAAGTGGTGAGGATTTGAAGAGAAGGAATTTGATCTATGTAAATCTTAGAATTCCCAAAACTTAATGGAGACAAATAACTTCTCCTGAAGATTCATCTGTAGCCATTAGAAACCTTGGGAACACAGAATACGTGGGAAAGCTTAGAACAGCTGTTAGTGTGTGCCAAGTGACTATTTTCTCTCTAGGGCTTGGAGCTAGTGTGGCCACAAAGCCGGCATTGTGTTTAGTTCCTCTGAGAGTGTCCTGCTCATCGTAAGGTGGCTGGAAGCTGCCTTGAGACAGAAATCCTAGAGAAGGTTCCAAGACTCACTCAGTCTTTGAAAGAAATGAAACAAAACAGAAATTCGTGTTTAATTTTATCACTTAAGCTGCATGCGAAGAGCACTTGGCTATAAGAGGAAGCTCTCAGATGAAGCCTACCTAATCAGCTACCGTCAGGCTTTCCCACCACGCCTGCGGCTGTTTCTAAATCCCTTCTGTCACTGTGGATGCTCTTCGGCAGCCAAGTAGGACTAGGCAGCAAAAGTCGGGGAGGGTGTGTGAAGGCCGCCTTGAGCACAGCCACACACCCTGCACCCCTCATGAGCCTGCAGAGAGGACGCATCTGCATGGACCATGGCAGGATTTTACCTTTGTCGTTGATCCTTAAGCAATTCAGCATGAYAGCTGCTCACAGAGATGGACATGGTACCAGGCGGCACATGTAATCTTGAGGTGACCTTAAGTACACAGGAGGAGGTGGGAAGGTCACTTTCATGGGCCCCAACCTTCTCCAGGGGACCTGCACATCCAGGGTTTGGGCACCCCCTGGGTCCCCCACAACCCTGAGGGCCAGGGCCAGCTGTGCTTGCCTTCCAGCTGACTGGGAAAGGTCGGCCTGTCTCATTCCACACAGGCACCTCTGCTGCCATGTGGGGACACCGGGTGTTCTTTAGGGAGCCCAGGAGGCCACAGTGTGAACTCCAGGCCCAGAGCCCAGAGCCAGACCCTGTTGCTACCTGTGAGGAGGCCACAGAGCTGCCTGGACGCACCTGCTGAGCCCTGGCTCCCGCGGTTTGGGGAACCAAATGGCCACTCCCATTTATGGTCCTGGCTTGCTCTGGGTTTAGGCTTTTCCCCCGTAAGTCCTACTGAAGTTCATTTCTTCCAGCAACTTGGTTATTGTAAACACTGATCTCCAGGAAAGAAACCCAGGATTTCTGTCAGCTGCCTTGAAACAGCTGGTGTGACCTTAAATACGTGGATAGCTATGAGCTAATGAGCCAGTGCTGCCACCCAGATCCCAGATGTGACCCTGCACCCAAGGTCTAGTCATGGCCACCAGCTTAACATAATGCCCACTGTTTGATAGACAGGAGAACAGAACACAGAGGCCCAGAGAAATCAGGCAGCCTTACCTAGGTCACCCAGCTCACAGGTAGCCCACCCAGCCCATATCAAAGCGACTTCTGCATGATTCTGGGCAGGATCCCCCAGCTGTTCTGCATGCATGGTGGACACTCAAGGAAGGCTGTGGGGGAATCACTCCTGATGCCCTTGCTATTGCCTTTTAAAAGCTCAGTGTAGAATTCCTTTCAAGGTTATAGACCTCTCCGGCTGGCAGAGAGCATTATGTTATTTTGTGAACTTCTGCAATTTTATAAATTTAAGTTTATTTATCTTATGATTATTGGTTTAATTGGACAGATGCATGCAACATACAGTCGTTTGATGCATGTACAGTGGGCCATCATCAACAAATTTAAATTTAATAAAGAATCACTACAGATAGTTTTCACCCTGCCAATGTAAAAACAGCCCAAGTGACATAAGCCTTCTGTCGAATTTTTGAAAAAACAAATTGAGCCGAAAACAGTCATTCAGTCGAGCTTTCTGTGCTCTTTCTCCCAGCCATCCCTCCATTTATCATGAACACTCTGGAGAAGAAGGCCTTCCTGAAGGTGAGTGCCGGCTGCTGCCCTTCCTCAGCCCCCCCCCCCCCAATGTCTCCTGCCCCAGCAGCAGGTAAGGAACGGGAAGGTCCATGTCTCTTGGGCACTTATGTAAACGCTGTGATGTTGCTGGGGACATTCCATTCTGACCTCAGATGTCTGGGGCAGTGTTCCTAAATGAAGAGCACTGCCACTGAGAGGGTCCTGGGGGCTGCATGTCACCTGTAGTGTCCCAGCTAGGTGGACACAACGGGTGACATTTGGATTATGTCCATAGGTCCCTGTCATTAGTGTCAGGAATGAAGATGTAATTTGGGGAACTGGACTTAGACCCCGCTATGTATAGATGATTCATTATCTATCAGCTGTGTGCCCTGAAGGCCTAAAGCTGTCACAGATTGAAACTGAAGCTGTAACTGGGACGTCTCGGCCCACGGCCAGCGTCCTTCCTGGATTGCGCACTGTGCCATGCGGGTGAGCACCACTTTGATCCACCTCAGTTTCCCAGTTCTTAGACGAGTAGGGTATGTTGTGTTGGAAAGCTGGTGTGGCTGGACCTGCCTGGAGCAGTGGCCCAGATCCTCACTGTGAGGGCAGGTGTGTTGTGGTGAACACGGCAGGTCCCATGGGGTGAGCTCTTCTGAGTCTTAGCAGCAAACCTGTAACTGCAAGGGCCACTGTGAAGCTCTGGAGAGAGCCACCGCTCACAGACCAAACCTCCCGTGTGAGGTCAGGGGTGTGTTCCTAGATCTCACTCTGGGGGCCCCAGTGGGGAAACTGAGGCAAGCAGTAGGTGAGCACTTTCTCTTCAAGTCCATGCTTTGAAAAATAAGCCAAGAAAATAATGCTGCGGAAAAACAGTGCTAGTGAGCACCTCACTTGACAGACATTCCCAGACCATTGCCCATGGATGCCCCRAGACCACGTCCGGGGGGACTCCCTCCCCAGCACTCCTCTTCTGTTCCTGAGAGCCTTGGAGACATGGAGCATCGTAGTCCCTACGCTGTAGTTTGTGGAACCGCTAGCTCTAGCAGTCTTACGTGACAGCGTGCACGGTGCCACAGAGAACAGTCGCTCTGCAGTGACGAACTGTCTCTGCTCCTTGCACAGCTCCCAGAGGAAGTCCACAGACCCTGCACTGCCCCAGGAAGCTGACTGGCAAAAATCCGAGTCCCGTCCGTCTCCTTTGTAGGTTTCTGACAACCTTAATCACTAGATGAACAGAAATACCAACAGCTCCACCTATACTCAAGCAGCAATCTCCTGAAACAGCAGTCACCTGTCTCTGGTGTTATTTTCCATGATTTTAGCTACCTGTAGTCAACTGTGGTCCAAAAACACTAAGTGGAAAATTCCAGATATAAACAACTCATGAGTTATAAGTTGTACGCCCTTCTGGGCAGTGTCAGCCCTGTGTCCAGCATATCCACTCTGCTCCCACGACCCRCCCAGTAACCTCAGCAGCCATCTTGGTCATTAAATCAGCAGTCATGGTACCACAGTGCTGTGTTAAGTAACCCCTAATTTGCTTAATGGCCCTGAAGCACAGAGCAGTGACGCTGGCCACTGGATCACAGTGTAATGTTATGTGGTTGTTCTATTTTGTTATTAGTTATCACTGTCGATCTCTTAATGTGCCTAACTCAGAAATCAGACTGCCCCATGGGTGTGTCTGAACTGTCCCACAGGAGAAGMGAGCATGTGGTGTGTGGGGTTCCATCCCACCCAACATTGCAGGTGCCCACTGGGGTCAGGAGGGTCCCTGTGGATAAGGGGGACTGTGTGCACACCAGATTGTAACTGTGGGCTCATTTCACATTCTGCTTTGACAAATTTGTATTTTGAAGATTCATAAAGAAGTTTTGCTGAAATCTCTTTCTGGTGCCAAGATTGGGAATGATTAATGGTTTAAAGCTCCCAAAGGATTCATTTATAGGCTAGGGCAACACTTGTCTAAGCACTACCCATGATATGGTCAGCTGGAATCCATCAGGTTTGACATCCTCATGATTTAAGAAACCTGAGAAAACGTCCATCTGACCATCTCTGCTTGACTTAGAAGAGGTGGTTCAGACTTCGAGGGAGAAAAAGTTTTAAAATGAACGCAAACCAGGGACATCAATATGGTTTTTCAAACAGTAGAGTAACAGCTGCCGCATTTGCAGAGCTGGTTTTATCCATGTCCACACTTCTCGGTGGGCAGAGCATTTTCACACCCTGCTTGGAAAAGGGGGCTTCACTGCACACCTTTTATAAGACTCAGAGCTCACTCCCGATGCGGGACACCGTGCCCCTGCCGCAGAGTCTGCCTGGGTCTGGCTCCCACGCCAGGTGCGCCTCCTCTGCAAGGACGCACTAATCTGGGCTTTTGCCTCGCGCATGACCACCCTCCTCTGCAGACTCCAACTAACTGAGCAATCCGGGCTTTTTAAACGACAGTGCGTGGGGAGCAAGTACATGAGTCATCCTCCCTACGCTCCTTCTTTCCCCAAGTGGAGCACTGAGAAGAGGTGCCCAGGACGGGCAGGTGACTCATGGAAAATTTTACAGCTACCAAGAAGTCCACTGACTAAAATCATGGTGCTTCTGTAAACAGTTTTCTAGAAAAACGGGCCCTGTTGTCACTTTTAACGTAGGTCACTCTTGCTGACACTCTCATTGGGGATAAAATTGGTATAGTTTGGGTCCTATAATAGTTCTTGTTCCTTTTAAATGTGGTTCTTTTCTGTTCCCTTTAATAACGATCGATGGCTTTTCAGGACTGTGCTGATTGATGGTGGTGTTTGTTTCTTCATTCTTGGTCACTGTTTATTATTTAGCCCTCACCTGAGTCACAGAAGCAGGGCACGAGCCCTGCTCTCAGGAGCAGACAGCATGGTAGAGGAGAGGGGCCCAAGACAAAAGGTGGCTGTAGTCACCATGCACGGTGACTACAGCATGGAGCATAGAGGGACTGTTACCCAGCTGAGGCAGGTGGGCAATCACCTAGACAGGACCAGCCATACATGTGGTCTACACAAGCTTCCTGAGGACACAGCATGACACCTGGTAGGAGAGTTGTGACATTTTAGGTTGGCAGGGATATTGGCAATACGTGGGGAATAGACCCAAGTACAAAAATAAGCCCTCAATGTTTATAGAAAACAAATATAAAAGTTGTGATCATAAAAGTAGTGGAAGAAAATATCGAGCACTGGTTAGCAAAGATCTCTTCTTAAACAACACCCAAAATTCAAGCCCAGTCAAGAAATAAAATGATAAATTTTTGCCTTCATCAAATTTTTAAAATTCCACTCTTCAAAAACTGTTCAGAAAATTTAAAAAAAAAAAAAAACAAGAAACAGACTGGGAGGAAATTTTTGCAGCCAGAATGCATGAAGAACTCCGTCAATGCTCACTCAGGAAACAAACCAGCAGCCAGGCACAGGGCTCACACCTAAACCTGAGGCAGGAGGATCATAAATTCGAGGTCAACCTGGGCAACTTGGTATTTCAAAAAAGGGGTGGGGGCCTGGGAGTGTAGCTTGGGGGTAAAAGCAACCCCAGGTTCAGCCACCAGTCCAAAGGGGGAAAAAAAAAGTCCAAAGAAAAAAAGTACTTTTAGTCATTGCAGTAATTAAAATCAAGACCACATGAGCTAATGGAGACGCCTGTTGGAAGGGCTTCCACCCATTGCCAAGGCTGTGTGCCCGCCCAGGTGTCACATGTCTAGGGACATCTGAGTGAGATTCGCCACCTCCTCACGGGAACCGTGCATCAGACAGCCAGTTGCCCGAGACAGTCCTGTGCTATAGGAGGACATTTCTGTCTGTGATGGGCCACCGGGATGACGGTAGTCCCACGGGGTTATGCCACCTGGTGGTGTGGCAGCCGCTTGGGTTTGCATGCTCTGTGCTGTTGGCATAAAGACAGAGCTGCCGAGGACACACTCCCCAGGACACAGCCACCTTCAGTGGCACCTGCTCTGTCCTTTCTGTCTGAAGGCAGGGGTTCTGCATAGCCTGCGTGGATCCGTCTCCTCTTGACGACATTTCTCCCTTTCTCTCCAGTCCCTGCCCTCCTCCCTTTACTTTGACCCTCCTGCTGTTCTTCTTCGCTGGAGGAGTCTCCGTGGGGACCAGGGTACGCCTCCCTGCCGCATGCTCGTGCTGGCCCTTCTCTGTGGCTGCGGGTCTTGACCCCCTCAGGCTTGGTTGCCACCTCCCTGACTCCGGGGCATAACCTGTGTGTCCTGCTCTTTGCCTTCGTTCTTGGTGCTGCTCCTTTTTTGAAGACTAAAGATCTAACAACGTTTGTATTTYACTAAAAAGGAAGTGATCAGTAACGAATTTTATACCAGACAGAGTTTTGGCCATACTGACGTTTACTAAAACCGAGAGCGGAAGGTGCAAGGTCCGCTGGCGGTGCTTGCTAGTCTCAGCCCTGCCCCGGGCAATTCTAGGTGCTCCCTGAAGGTGTAGGTGCTCCCCGAGRTCCTCTGGTGCCTCTTCGGCCACACACTTTGAGAAGCGCGAGGATGCCTGTTTTTCATCCTGGCAAGGACACTGAAGCTCGGGGCCTGGGAGCCACCTGCCTTCTTCCCGTCTCCAGGAGCTGGCTGGAAGGGAGCACATCAGGCAGTACAGTCTCCCCAGCCAGGAGGTCAATCATAATTAGGTGGTAGCTGTTTACCTATGGCCCCTGTACAGTAAGCAGCCCTCGGGCTGTGCGTCCGGGGGAAAGGAACTGCAAGCCCCTGGACTGTGCACCTGTGTTCCCAACAGACCACAGGGCCACCCGAAGTCAACACTAATGCACGCACTGCCCCAGCCGACTAACCGCCCTGCATCTGGGTCCCGTGCTGTGAGAGCGTCCCTCTGGCTGTGGGCAGGCACGCTCTCTGGGGCCTCTCGGAAGCACTCACGGTCTTGTGTCTCTCCACAGAGGTTCCCGTGGCTGAGCGCACCCATCCAAGTTGGCCTCGTGGGCTTCTGGTGAGCAGGAGATGTGTTTCAAAAAAATGAATTTGGTTTTTAATTGTGCATATGTCTGTGGGGAGCAGTGTGATAATTCATACCCACATGCTGTGAGTGGTAATCAGCCAGGGGGTAGTTAGCATAGAGATTTCTTTTAGATAATCAATTTCTTAAAAAAAAAAARAATAAAGACACCACCTATGAAGGTAAGAGAAAGGGTGGACACAGGGGGACAGAGCTTTGGAGAGGAGACCACCCCAGAACCTCTGGAGCTCATAGAAGAGAAGTAAGCTGCTTCTACAGAAACCCACAGCCGTTGGGGCGACTGGGGGACCTTCTTAAATTCCTRTTATCTCTTTGGTTTTAGTTTGATTCCTTTTGGTTCATTTTCCTTCATTATTTGGGCAATTCAGGTAATAAAATATATGTGAACAGGACTTTTTTTGTCAGGTCATCTAATGTTTTAAAAAAAGAAAGGGGTTTGTTACAAAAATAAAATAAAAGAAGAATCTGAGAAGCTGACCATTTCAAAACTCTGATTTCTCTCTCTCTTTTTTTAAGCTTGGTGTTTGCCACGCCCCTGTGCTGTGCCCTGTTTCCTCAGAAAAGGTCTGTCTCTGTTGTTGGGGATGATTGTGAGTCCTAACCCTAGAGACCAGTGGGAGACAAGGCTAGTGTTCCACTTTGTGGATGAGGGCGTTGAGACTCACGGAAACAGTGAGGCCAAGGGCTCCAGGAGGAGAGAYGGGCACCCCTGCCACCCAGTCCTAGTTGCCAAGCCCCTCTCCGGCTCTTTTCCACCCACTACTGTTGAGTCTGAAAAATGTGCCAATGTTTTATAAGAGTCAGGTTAACTTTGCAGATTTGCTTTCATCAAATGCAAGTGTGGTTCACTGGGGTCCATCCACGGGCCAGGGCAGCTGTAGAGCAGGCACGGGACTTCAGCCCAGCCGGGTGTGTGCGCTTGGCTGGGGAGTTTCTGGGCTTGCTTTATATCCCTCCTTCCTGCTTGGTGTTTTCCTTAAAAGCTTGTTGGGCGTGTGCCTTTATCACAAGATGAGCTTGGGTCTGCTGTGATGTAAGTCAGAATTGGCTGGTGCAGGATCAGCTGCGTCTGCGCCCAGGCCTCCCCTTCAGCTCATGCCAAAGGCCCGAGGCTCTGCTCTGGGGTGTGCCTCCGTATCCACACCCCTTGCCTTTGCCTTGCTCTTTCCTTCATGGCCAGCAGGTCCTTCCTGCCCTGGCCTTGCAATGTAGGTTCGGGGCGACCTTGGAAGGAACTTCCTCAGGGTCCCCCCACCACACAGATGCCACCTTTTGCTTGCTCTTCCTCTGTCCTTGACCCAGGTTGTGGGTAGAGGTTTAATTCTCACAGCAGGGAACTCATCACCCTAATAGCCACAGAGAGGCACGCTTTGTAGAGGGTGCCTCAGACTGTTCTGGAAACCAGGGCAGAGGAAGTTCCTCATCTCTACCTGGGAGATTCATGCCCCATCGGTTGCACAAAACCCCAAATCTGGGGCTCAACCTGAGAATTGTTCGTTTCTCTGGTAGATGGCACATGTGCACCAGTGGCCGTCGGCTGCCGTCACACGCAGGGGCTGGGACATACTGTGTGTGAATAATAAAGAGGGACCCAGGAGCCCTGAGAACAGCATATCTGTAGTTCTGAGATTGGAGGGATTCCAGATGTAGAACCCCACCTAGCCTTGGTTTTGTTGGGTTCCTCCCAACATTTAAACTCCAGTTAGAAGTGAGAAGTTTTCCACAGCTGCTCACGTCCCAGGGTCCGGCTCTCCAAGAGCACATGGTCTATACCTGGGAATCATTGTCATTGTCAAGGTTACTCACGGTCCCATTGTGTGCAAAATAGCCACTGTGGGGTTTTTTACCAAGTTTTTTTTTCTATATTCACATTTTTTCTTTTATTTTTACATATTTTCATACAAATTCATATCCTGACTCTTCAGCTTATATGTTACCCCATCTCAAATACGTATATGTAAAATAAATAAAGCTTAATATATTTGCTGCTATAATGCATTCAAATCACCCCTGCCTTCCTGCCCTGTTATTGGGGATTGAACCCAGGGCCTGGTACATACTAGGCAAGTGCTCTCCACTGAGCCACATCCCAGGCCCCCTTTTTTTATTCTACATTGAGACAGGGTCTTGGCTAAGTTGCTGAGGCTGGCCTTGAACTTGTGGTCCTCCTGCCTAAGCCTCCCAAGTAGCTGGGATCACAGGCGTGGCCAATGACCCCCACTGGTGGTTTTCTCTCCTTTTTTCTTTTCTTTTTTTCCTTCTGGTACATTTTGGTATTCCCTGAAGTTTTGCAGGAGCGGGTGTTGTTGCGCAGTAGACAGAGGTGTGCTAGCACACGCACATATTTGGTGTTGAACACCTGCCGAGTGATCACATCCTTCTGTCAGTGGTGAATTTGGATTGTTTTCCTGGGGGGTGGCATGGCCACACGGTGCTTCCCCGACACAGAAGGCCTGAGTGTCACCTCTGCATACTTCCACAGAGTGCTCAGCCCTTAGCAATAGCAGAGGTTAAGGATGAGGTGTTGGGAGTTGTGTTTCTGTGATTGTTAGTGACCGTCCATCTTGTGGAAGGTGCTGGACTTGGATTTTGCAGCCTCGGAAGACTGTTTTGCTGCACCAGCCCTGGGTCTCCAGACCTGTGTTCTCCTCTCCCCACGTCTTCTAGTTCTGACTCACACTTTGGCCCCCAAAGTAACCCTGTCCTTTCTCCCCCTCCCAGTTCCATGAGTGTGACAGCCTTGGAGGCTGAGCTGCGAGCCAAGATCCTAGAGAGCCATCCTGAGCTGCAGCGCGTGTACTTCAACAAGGGACTGTAAAGTAGGGACGGAAACCTCGACAGCTGATCCTGCCCGCTGCAAGCCCTGTGTAGCCGTGTCGTGAGGAAGGTCCRGTCAGCCTGGGTTCCGGCTTCTCCAAACTCCACGTTAGCCTTTAAGAATAAAGCTGCTGCTGAGGACRCTGCCCGTGGTGCGGGCCAGTGGCCTGACACCTGTCGGCTCCCTCACGTTTGAATCATGATGACTTAGAGAACACCCCCCTGTAGCTTTCACAATGACTGCTTCTCAAAGACAATACCCCGCCCTGTGCCAAGGGTTTTTAAAAGGTACTGCTAGGCTTAGAGTAGGCACTTAGGATAGGCTTGGTAGATATTTATAGATGCTCAGTCAACACAAAGGTGGTCCAAAGCATCAAGTGTCATTCCCACTCTGCTTCCATCCAGGAGATCCCAGCAGTGACCTGGGAAGGCAGAAGTCCCAGGCAGAGTACCCTCAGTACTAAGGGAACACTGCTTCCTTCCTGTGTGGCCAGAGGGCAAGGGGGAAGTAGGTGGTGCAGATCTTGGAACTTTAGGTAAAGGCTCCTTCACAGACTCCGGAAGTAGAGCCCCAGGCGGGGCATCTCACCCCCTACCACCGACTGTTAGGCACATCCATATTGTCGGTGCATTTTCTTTATTGCATTTTATTCTTATAAACATGTTGATCTTACTTTGCAGTTGTTGGCTTTATATTCAGTTATTTCCATCATATGATCAAGCAGCTTAACCATAGCAAATGTCTCATTTTGGAAGTGTGTTCTGTGCCTGGGCTATGTGACGGCATGAATCTGGTTGGCTGGTTTCCTAGAAGTGACAGTCCCCTTCCCTGCGTGGCTCACCCTGCCTTCCTTGTAGACCTCTGTGGCTTTCAGAAGGATACAGAGTTAACATGTGCATAAATCAGTAACTGTGAGTTTTACTTGACTGTGGTACCTACATTCCTTCCTGTTTGAAAAGGCTGGACCGCGGGCCGCTGTTTACATCACGGTAGTGATTTCCATCATTCCCATCGAGTCTGTAATGTAACCGGTGATTTCCAGTCTGTAGATGTTCACCAAGGCACCTGTTCATCGATGTACTTCAATGTCATTGTAATTCAGAGATTTGTGAGTGTAAAAAAATATTTAGAAACTATTTACTTTTGATGGGCCCTTTCTCCTGACAGTGTGTGCAAACAGTTTCTTGATAAAGAAAAGCTGCGGTGCCTTGTGTCTGTGTTCCTCTTTTCTCTGAAAGGGTGAGCAGATCTGAAGCTCTGACTTCCCTGGTGCCGCTAGAATCTCCTGCTTGAGGATTTGCTGTCTCAGCAAAATGCTTCCCCATGGCGTTCTGGCCTTGGGCCGACTTTGCAACYGTCGATGCTTCTCTCTCAAAAGCAACAAAAAGCCTGAGATTCCAGGCAGATCTCCGTGCCATGAAAGYGCTGTTGGTAAGAAGCCAGGGCCTCAAGGTTGTGCCCATTCCTCTCAGTCCACTCCCCAGCTAGCCCAGCGCCGGCAGAGCCTGCACTCTGTGATGGTCCAGCAACTGGCTGGAAGCCTGCCGGCTCCTGAGAACGGGCACACACTGGGGGGACACGGCCAAACCACTGGGGAATGGCACCACGAAGCTGAGGCTTGTCCTTTTAAACCTGGATATTGAGGCTTCAGACTCTTAATGCTTCTATGTAGAAATATTAACTGTATGGTTAATCACATTTTATAAAAAAAGAACAAAGGAACCCATCTTTTAGGAATACCTTTTCTGAAGGAAACAATCCACATGAAATGCAATAAGCTTATTATGGTAAACAGTTAATTTCCGTGGACAAGGTGTAGAGTCAGGATGGTGAGCTGTCACCGACTGGCAGTTACCGTTTCAGTGTTAGCCCAGCGTCTTGCCCGTGTTGGAGTCAATGTATTATTTCAGTTCAACTGATCGAAATGTTAAATAAACTCAGAATGAAAATAAATTCTCTCTTTTATTTGTACACAGAGGACAAGACAATTTGTGTGTCCTAGTGGCTGCTACCTTCCATGCAGACTTAATAATTGTGGTGTCATTAGGAACTCCTAATGAAAAAATATTCCTGTTATCCCTTCAAGAGAAATATATTCCTATTTTGGACTCCCAGTGTCCTGCCTTCCTGAACCCCACATATGGTCAACCCCCTTATCCTCAGGGGACAATTCCCAGGAGCCCCAGTGGATGTCTGAAAACATCAGTGGTTCTGAGCCTCAGGTAGGCTGTTTGGTGGCTGCTGTGTTGTTTTTTCCTGACACATTCATACCTACGGTGAAGTTTAATCCATAAATCAGGCCCAGTAAGAGATCAACAGTCATAACTAATAACAACGAACAATTACAACAAGATGTCATAAAAGTTATTAAAACCTATGAGTGGTTTATTTCTGGAATTTTCCTTTTAGTAATTTTGAACTGGGATGCACCTTGGATAACTGAACCACAAAGCCAGAGTGTGGCTGGGAAGGGACCACGGTGACACCCCAGCCCCACAGCCGAGTGCCTCCAGCCACGTTCAGTGGGAGTAGCCCTGTGCTAGTAGCCTTCCACAAATCATGGCTTCTCCATCAGTGGGAACCATTCCAACTATCTTAGCACAGCCTTTCCAATCTTGCAAGTGTGGTTTGCATCCTTCTTTCCTTGTGACTCCCTTGTGGTGTCCTCTGAGCATCATCTCCATTAAGGAGCTGGGGAAACAGTCTTTAGGAAGTACACCATCAGTCACGAACTTACTTGAGACATTTGGAAGACCCTGAAAGTTCCAGTTATACACATGCATACAGCATATAAACATGCAGAGTTCAAATGATCACCCAACCAAGGGCAAGAGTAGATCAGCAAGGTCATGTCCATGTAGGGTCCYGAATGAGGAGGGCAGGAACAGTGATTCTCAAAGTGTGGTCCCTGGACTACAGCATCAGCATCTCTGAGAACTCAGAACTTCCCGTCCTAGGCCCCATCCCACACTCTCTCAATCTGAGACTCTGGAGGTGGGACCCTGCCTACTTTTCACAAGCCATTTGAGGATTCTAAAGGACATTCAAGCTTGAAAGACACTGGCCAGGATGATGAGTGCAGACCTGGCAGACAGGCTGCCCTCCAAATCTCCAGTGTCTCATCCGTGAAATGACAATACCACTTCTCCCTTGCACCATGGAGAGGAGTCCGTGAGTGTGAGGAGGCAGGCAGCGCCACACCAGACCGACAGTGCACCCCCGCTCACTTCTTCTAAACCCAGCTGTTGTGAGTCCAGGGGCCAGAAGCTTGACAACATTTTGTTGGTGACCCTCCTGGGAAACAGGCACTCTCACGACTGCTGCAGTGCAAATTGCTGCCATTTCTCTGCAATAGTTTGGTGGTAGCTATTGAAGTTTATAAAAGCACTTGCCCTTTACTGGCAAATGGATGGAAATGGAGAACATCATGCCAAGTGATAGAAGACAGTCTCGGAAAATCAAAGGTTGAACATTTTCTCTCATAGGTGGAAGCAAGAGTAAAATAAAGGAAGACAGAGGGAAGTACTGGTTATCACAGAGGCTTAGGGAAGATGAATCRGGCAAAGGAAGGAGAGGGAGAGGGGAGGGATGGGAAAGGGGAGGAAATGCAGAATGAATTCTTTAAAAATCATGTCATGTGCATACATAAATACAGCACAGGGAATTTCACCTTTATATATAAGTACAAAGAACCAATTAAAAATAAATAGATTAGGGAGACAGAGACCAATAGAGCAGAGAAAGAAAAATAGGGGGAGGCAGGAGGAGAGGGAAGGGGGGACATGAACTGAAATGGCATTCCATGCATGTAAGGTTCTGTTAGCATTTACCCAGCTACCATGTGTGACTATAATGTTCTAAAAAAAAAAAAAAAAAAAAAAGCATATGTCCTCTTAAAGCAGCTTCACCCCTAAGAAGTCCCCCCACAGAAGTGGACACCATCATTCATGGAGGATTGCAGCTCCCCCCACCTCCCACTCCCCCTCCCCCAGTGGCACCCATGTAGATGAGGGGGTTGGGGAAGTGGAGGGAGGTAGAGGAAGAGGGAGGTTGGCAGATGTGTCCGGAAGATGGTGAGAAATTTCCAGGCAGGAAAAAGATAAAGTGAATATGCTCTACTGAGAAATATAAAATAAAAGAATAAATTTTTTTCTTTAGAATGTTATGTTTTTTATTTGGATTCTTGCAAAATGTACATAGCGAGAGACATTAGAGTTGATTGACACAAATATAAACTAAGTTAGGAAGAAAGGCTCTCTGGATGGTAGGATGACCTGTGGTTTTTACATTCTCTCCTTTATTCTTGTCGAATGTTACATATTTTCTACTGTTTCTGAGCTCAAGACATACAAACTGCTATTTTTTTAAAAAATCCCTATGTACATCATAATCCCCAATAAATGCATGGACGSGATAAAAGACCAGTTAGAAGGACATAGGCCAATGTGGTTAACAGTTGGTGTCTCTGAGCTTCCAGACAATCTTTATCTTCTTTACAGTTTCTGGAAGCATTTCCTGGAATGCACTCCTATTCCTCCTCCCCCCCCCCCCAGGGGCTCTAGGGATTGAGCCCAGGGGTGCTTAACCACGGAGCCACATTCCAGCCATGTTTTATATTTTATTTAGAGACAGGGCCTGGCCAAGTTTCTGAGGCTGGCTTTGAAGTCGCTATTTTTTCATCAGAAACCATCAGGTTCGGGGCGCGGAGTCCAGCTGTAACTGGAGGCAGGCCCTGGTCTCCCCTGCTCCCAGGAGTGGGCAGCAATCATAGCAGGGCTTGGGCACAGCAGCCTTGGGGCGGACTCTCAGCCCCCACCCCAAACGTCCTAGGGACACAGAGGCAGTCGCGGCCCTTCGCGACTCCAGCTGCCCCTGGGAACAGTGGAAGCAACAAGTACCTCGTGGGGTCCTTTCCAGGCAGCACCCCGCTTTATTCTCCACGCCTCGGACCCGCAGAGCCCCGGCGACGCCAGGGCGCAGCATCCATCGCCCGCAGGATGGCGGCGGCAGCACACAGCTCCAAGTCGCCCGCAGGTGGCCCCTGTGACCACCACCCCGCCTCGAATGCGCATCTCCCAAGTGAAGTCAGCGGGCGGGCGGGGACAAGACAACCCCTGGGCGAGCAGGCTGCCGTCCACAGACAAGAACCAGCTCCTGTCTCCCCCTTCCCCCTGCGTTTCTTCGGGTACATTGTACAGGACACCTGGGTCCATGCGGAGGGGCCGGGGCAGACACACAACACAGGTGGACCACTCCTTGCCCTCGCTGCCATCCGCAGCAACACAGGCTACAGAAGAGGAGCCTGGACCCTACTTGGGGAGCGGTGGGGGTGCCCAGGGCGTCTGGGGATGGCACTTCAGCTGGCTCCAGAGGGATGCCTAGTGTTTCCTCACTGGAGCAGGGCAGCCAGCCTCTGGGAAATGGGGAAGTCCACGCCTGGAGGCGGGTATGGCAGGATATGTCCAGACTGCAATGCCACCTGTGGGCAGGCCATGGGGCTCCTGAGGGGCCCGTTGAAGAGGCATGGATGTCAGCATGGAGTCATGGCTCATTCTGAAGGGCTTTGTGCATAAGAGGAGCAGAAGTCAAATCCTCCCTCTGTCACTTACTCATTTTGTGACATGGGGCAAGCTATTCCCCTCTCTGAGCCTTAATTTCCTCTGTTGTAAAGTTGGGACAATGAATGTAACTTACAACCTTGTAAAGATTTGCCAGGCGCAGTGGCCCACGCTTGTACTCCCAGCACTTGGGTGGCTGAGGCAGAAGGATTGTGAGTTCAAAGCCAGCCTCAGCAAAAACATCGAGGAGCTAAGCAGCTCAGTGATAACCCGTCTCTAAGTAAAATACAAAATAGGGCTGGGGATGTGGCTCAGTGGTCAAGTGCCCCCGAGTTCAATCCCCAGTACCCCAGAAAAGAAAAAAAAAGATTAAAACAATAAATGGATGGCCCTAAGTCGATGTCCAGTCCGTGGGTTTCCTTGGTTTCCGTGTCTTGTCCCTCTCTTTCTCTGCAATGACGTCTGCAATGACAGACAGCAGGCCACTGCCGTGTAGCTGGAGGATCAGCTCAGCAACCAGGAGGACTGCCCAGCCGGTGTCCAGTGTAGGGAGTCCATGTTTGATTGCAATCAGGAAGTTCTGCCCTCTTGTTCCCATTTGTAACAAATGCTTTTTATTCTGATACTAAAAATGTATTTTATTATGATTGCAAAAATAACATCTCTGGGAAAGATGGTATTATGCAAGGAAGAATTTTTTTTTTTGAAACAACTAAAAATAGAGTGGAAAACACCAACTCTGTTGAAATAGGGAAAAAAAATCAAACTTGGAATAGTGATTTTGGTCCGGAATTGGGGAAAGGGGGAGGTTCTGGGAATCCACTTCTAGAGCAGAGAGAAGGTCTGTGAGAAAGAGAAGGGCTTACCCTGGCCCAGGCAATGTGGGCAACCCAGGAATGGTCCCAACCAAGGAGCAGAGAAGCAGAGACAGCGGTGGCTGAGGGTCCCCCACAGTAGTGAGTGGAGACTAGGAAAGAGGCTGTTCTGGAGGGAGGGGGCGCCCCGAGGGGCAGTGGTGGGAAGCAAAGTCATCATTAAATGTTGCTGAGCATGAAGAGGACATCCCTGCCTGGGTGAGGAGCAAGTTCTCTTGTCCCCAACCAACTATGTCTCAATACTGGGGATCAGTATTTTAAGCTCCCCAGGCCTGTTCTGAGCTGCAACCAGGGTTGAGAACTTCTGATCCAGTGATAGAAACATGGTTTGGAGTGTTTTGGTGACTTTGAGAGTGCCAGGTGGTGTTTTAAAACACAATGCAATAGTGAGAGTGTCTAGCCTAGAGCTAGGCATATGGACTACATTATCTCACTTAAATCCACTCCGCCTCCAGTGGGCCCCAGTTTACAGAGCGTGGTGG